TATATATTTGTCTTATCTATACATGTCTGGGTCCTGTAGCCACCATGAAAAGGGTTGATAATACTCACGTTAGTTTGTGTCTCAATTATGACCATACACAGTGCAGGTAGTTAGTTAAAGATGTATACATAACCCAGTGCCTTACACTCTTAACTCTTCCTATAGCACACACACACACACACACACACACACACACACACACACACACACACACACACACACACACACACACACACACACACACACACACACACACACACACACACACACATTTATTCTCACATTCTGGTCCTATAAACGCAGGTGGGGAGTTGTGATAGTGAGTACAAGTCCTGGTAAGTCAGTCAGGTTCCAACCAGTTTACCCTCTGGTTCTGTAGTCAACACACACACACACACTACTGCCGCCACTTCCCAGATCGTCACCAGATAGTACCCCCCGCACCAGCTGATGTACTTACCGGTTATATTAAATGATATATACAGTACCAGTAGCCACCAGTTATATTATACAGTGGAGCTTTGTTGTCGGTAAGTCAGTCATGTGAACAGACCCTTATGTACTGTGTGACGTAGGCTCTCTCTCTCAGATGATACACCACCACCTACACTAGTTCTGGTACACCTCATAATAAGTTGTTCCTCGGTGATAAGGGGGACACCACCAACACGCGTACTGTAGTCTTCACCTTCTGTACTCTTACTGTATACTATCACCATTACCATCATCAGTATTACCGTCATCATCATTATTACCATCATCATTATTATTATTACTATTACAGTCATCATTATTATTATTATTATTATTATTATTATTACCATCATCATTATTACTATTATTACCGTCATCATTATTATTACCATCATCATCATCATTATTATTATTACCATCATTATTATTATTACTATTACAGTCATCATTATTATTATTATTATTATTACCATCATTATTATTATTAGTATTATTATTATTATTATTATTATTATTATTATTATTACCGTCATTATTATTATTATTACCATCATTAATATTTTTATTATTATTATTATTACCTTTATTATTATTATTACCATCATCATCATCATTATTATTATTACCATCATTATTATTATTACTATTACAGTCATCATTATTATTATTACCATCATTATTATTATTACTATTACAGTCATCATTATTATTATTATTATTATTATTATTATTATTATTATTATTATTACCGTCATTATTATTATTATTACCATCATTATTATTATTATTATTATTACCTTTATTATTATTATTACCATCATCATCATCATTATTATTATTATTATTACCATCATTATTATTATTTTTATTATTATTACCATCATTATTATTATTATTACCATCATCATTATCATCATTAGTACCATTATTATTACCATCATCATTTTCATTATTATCATTATTGCCTTCATCATTAATATTACCATCATTATTATTTTTACCATCATTATTATTTTTATCATTATTATTACCATCACCATTTTCATTATTATCATTACCATCATTATATTAGTATTATTATTACCATCATCATTATTACTATTATTATTATTATTACCATCATCATCATCATTATTACCATTACTATTATTATCATCATCACCATCATCCTTATTATTATTATATGAAGAACAAATATCCAGACTAGTACAGTGGCGACTCTCCCTTGAACAGTACCTCAAGTAGTTTATATCACTTAAATAGATATACCTGTACTTACTGCCTCACATGGTTGACAGTCACTGCCTCACATGGTTAACAGTCACTGGCTAACGTGGTTGACAGTCACTGCCTCACGTGGTTGACAGTCACTGCCTCACGTGGTTGACAGTCACTGCCTCACGTGGTTGACAGTCACTGCCTCACGTGGTTGATACAGTCACTGCCTCACGTGGCGATAGTCACTGCCTCACATAGCTGAGTCACTGCCTCACGGTTACTGCCTAACGTGGCTGACAGTCACTGCTCGACATGGTTGAGTCACTGCCCACGTGGCTGAGCCACCGCCTCACACGTGGTTGAGCCACTGCCTCACGGTTGACAGTCACTGCCTCACGTGGCTGAAACAGTCACTGCCTCACTGCGGTTGAAAAGTCACTGCCTCACGCGGTTGACAGTCACTGCTCACGTGGTTGGAAAGTCACTGCCTCACGTGGTTGACAGTCACGTTCACATGGTTGAGTCACTGCTCACGTGGCTGACAGTCACTGCCTTCACGGCTGGACAGTCACTGCCTCACGGCTGACAGTCACTGCATCACGCGGGCTGACAGTCACGTTCTCATGGCTGAGTCACTGCCTCACGTGGTTGAAACAGTCACTGCCTCACGTGGTTGACAGTCACTGCCTCACGTGGTTGAAACAGTCACTGCCTCACGTGGTTGAAACAGTCACTGCCTCACGTGGTTGACAGTCACTGCCTCGCGTGGTTGAGTCACTGCCTCGCGTGGTTAAAACAATGATTAAGACACGTTTAGGGACCAAGGTTCAGGGACCAAGGTTCAGGGACCAAGGTTCAGGGACCACGGTTCAGGGACCAAGGTTCAGGGACCACGGTTCAGGGACCACGGTTCAGGGACCACGGTTCAGACCTCAGCTCAGGACCAAGGTCTAGGGACCAAGGTTCAGGACCTCACGGTTCAGGGACCAAGGTTCAGGGACCAAGGTTCAGGGACCAAGGTTCAGGGACCAAGGTTCAGGGACCAAGGTTCAGGGACCACGGTTCAGGGACCACGGTTCAGGGACCAAGGTTCAGGGACCAAGGTTCAGGGACCACGGTTCAGGGACCAAGGTTCAGGGACCAAGGTTCAGGGACCACGGTTCAGGGACCAAGGTTTAGCCGTACACAACACGATAAAGACAGCAATACATACCCTCCTCCTCATCTCCCATGACTGAAAACGGAGAAAATCCAATATCAGTATCTATGAAATTTTGTATCTTAAATTTAGAATAAAAAAAATCCTTAGGTTTACTTTATGATCTAATTGGCCTTAAGACTAACTAGCGTGAGAGATGTAATAAAGGGAGACTGTGGGCGAGGGAAGCATGCACTGTACAGTAGTAGTGGACCATAGCAGACCCAGACGGGGGGTTATAGGCCACACTTACTGACGTGGAAGGTGCTGTTCACTTACTCTTCTACGCAGCCTGTCAAAACATAACTCAAAAGCAGATACAGCGGCGAGAACAGGTGAATGTTACTCATACTTACAACTAATTAGCAACAAGATCATGCAACAACAACAGTACCGAGGCAGAGGTGTATAAATGGAAGTCAGGGCTCAACAAAGGGGACATTACCAAGGTACTCAAACTATCCAACCAGGAGCGAACTCGTAACAATGGTTTTAAATTAGACAAATTTAGATTTAGGCGCGAAATAGGTAAACATTGGTTTGGAAATAAGAGTAGTGGATGAATGGAACAAGTTACCAAACATCATCATTAACTCGAATACGCTGGATAACTTCAAACATAGGTTGGATGGATATATGAGCGATAGGGGCTGGGTGTAAACGGGACTGCCCAGTATGGGCCAATAGGCCCGCTGCAGTTTCCTCCATTTTTATGTCAGCCAAACACCTTGCTTTATTATAAGACTTGCCAGTTGGCTGCTCCATAAATGAAGAAAGCAAAACACAAGACTAAACAAGGAACATCCTAACTCAAGGATGATGTGTTCTGGATGATTAAACAGTCTCCACACAGGTTAGGTTAGGTTACTTAATTTTTAGGTGAAATAAGCAGCAGGGGTGGAGAGTCTTCAGGTGAACCAACATATATATAAAAACAAGTGATAGCTACTACAGGCGGCACCCCCAAGGCCAGGGAGCCATAACCCTGGTCAATAAACAACAAGAATACTAATAACCCAGCCTCCTCTACTGATCTATTTACATACTGAATGTGATTATAACCCAATGATGTATGTTGTACCTCACACACACCCTCACAACCCCAACGCCAGAAAATAATAATACATATACATAACAAGAATAAAATTATAATATAAAATATAATGCGCAAAAAATTACCAATATATAAAAAAAACCGAACAGCATAGAAAATGTCACCACGTGCATCAGGTCGTGTTGAAACTGTCTTGTTCTGGGTGTTTTATTCCGTAAAAAAAAAAAAAAAAAAAAATTATATATATATATATATATATATATATATATATATATATATATATATATATATATATATATATATATATATATATATATATATATATATATATATATATATATATATATAAACACCTTCCTGGGTATACTTAATTAAAAGGTAGATACTAATTGAAGGTGAGAAAATATGTGGAGGTGAGGTGTTGGGCGTGGCGGGTAGGGGCAGGATCAGTAGGTGACCTCGCTAACCTACTGTATATGGGCCACAACACCTAACCTTCGACGCTCTCCTTAATATACTCATTAATCTTTTTTATATAATACAGGTGTTAATTATTTCCACTATATAAACTACACCGCCATGTTGACACTGTGTGATCAATGTTGTGAACTTGTGCCGAACTAAGGTGAGGTTTTCAGCGGGTGTTTTCGAGTTTTTGTGCAGCTGTCAGGGCGGAGAGTACTGTCTGTAGCAGCCGGAGCCACGGGGTGGCGCATCAATGTGCCGGCCATCGTGGCCTGGCCCTTGTGGCAAAAACTGGCCCCCGGGTTGTTTAACTTCCTACTCTGGCGGCGGCCCTCACACTCTTAGTGGCACTGCTACCCAGCATCCTGCCTCTCCCTCCACGGTACTAACCCATCCATCACCATACTCCTGGTGTGGTTAGGCCGGTCACTGAGGGAGGCACTGGGAAGAATGACATGTGAGATAATATAGTGACCGCGGGTACTGTACACGAAGGTTGGGTTGAGTTGGATTAGATTAGGGTGTGCTAGGTTAGGTTGTTTAATCAATTATCAGGTGTAAAATAAGCTGGGGTGCCTAACCTTCACGTGATCCCAACTCGTCGCCAAACACCACACCAACACACTGACTGACACACAGCCACATGACCACAGTCACCTGACCGTCTCTCAAGAGATGAGAGTACAGTACAAACAGGTGAGGTGTGCCCCTCTTATACCCTTCATTAGGTAGGTGGGTGGGTACGGGCGAGGGTGACCCTAACATGACACAGATTCACGGCACTAACTTCACCCCCCGCACACACACGTCATGATCTCTCCTCTGTCTTTGTCTATCTGTCTACTCCTGCCGCACCACCGTTACCATGACAAGAGACTCCGGTGGAACTTTTCATCACACACACACACACACACACACACACACACACACACAGTCACCGGGACAGCCATTCAATCCAACTAGTGATCGTCACCAAGCAAGCATGGAGGGAGGGAGGAGGAGGGAGGAGGAGGGAGGGAGGAGGGAGGAGGGACGGAGGAGGAGGAGGGGAGGGACGGACGACGGAGGGAGGGAGGAGGGAGGAGGGAGGGAGGACGGACGGAGGGACGGACGGACGGAGGGAGGGGACGGGACGGAGGGAGGGAGAAGGGTGTGTATGAGGCGTGGGGAGTGGGGTGGGAGGCGTGTAAGGAGAGGCGTGGGAGGTGTGGGAGGCGTGTATGAGTAAGTGTGGGAGTGTGTATGTGGGGAGGCGTGTATGAGGGTGGGAGGTATGTGGGAGGGTGTGTATGAGGGTGTGGGAGGTATGGGAGGCGGCAAGGAGGCATGGGAGCAGGGAGGCGGTATGAGGCATGGGGAGTGTATGGGAGGTGTGTATGAGGCGGGAGGTATGTGGGAGTGTGGGGAGTGAGGCATGGGAGGCAGGGGAGGCGTGCGAGGCGGGGAGTGTATGTGGGAGGCAAAGGAGGGCATGGGAGCAAGTGGGGGAGGGCGTGTATGAGGCGTGGGAGGTGGGAGGCGGTGGCGAGGCATGGGAGTGGCGGGGAGGCGGGGAGGAGGCGGGAGTAAGGGAGGCGTGTATGAGGCATGGGAGTGTATGGGAGTGTAAAGAGGCGGGAGGTATGTGGGAGGCGTGTAAGGAGGCGTGGGGAGTAAGGGAGGCGTGTAAGAGTAAGGGAGTGTATGTGGGAGGCGTGTATGAGGCATGGGAGTGTATGTGGGAGGCGTGTATGAGGCATGGGAGTGTATGTGGGAGGCGTGTATGAGGCATGGGAGTGTATGGATTATGTTGGATGCGTTTGGGGGCGGTGATCGTGGAGGAGTGTGTGGGAGAGGAGGAAGGCCATCGAGTGAGTGGGTGGGGAGAATAGGAAGTATGGGGAGGAGAGGCTGTGAGGGGAGGTATAGGGAAGGGTCAGGTCAGGGAGGGTGTGTGGGGGAGGAGTAGGGAGGGCGTGATCATGCGGGCGGTGGTGATGAGAGGCGTAGGGGCAGTAGGGAGTTGGTGGGCGGGACTAGAGCCCTCAAGCGGCCCTGCCAAGATGGCCATCGGGTCTACCCTACCGCATATCAGTCTCTGCTACCAGGAAAAAAATAATTATGTGAGTGAGTCAGCGGGTCGGGCGTGGGGGGGGGGGTGTTCAAGAAGCACGTTATCATACCACTTCCCTGATCCTAGTACTGTACCGCCATGTGAGCAACAGTTTAGCGGCGGCTGCGGCCTCCCACACCAGGATTTAGATGCGGCGTGAAAGAGGAGGAAGGAGGTATAGAGGGGAGGAGCCACGCCCTCCACCAGGATGCTCACCACACCCCGGCAGTCAACCAAGTGTGATAAAAATCCTTCTTCTACATCCAACGACAACATTCAACCTTCAGTCACATGTTCTGGGACGAATAAACAGAAGCTGGGCTGCGCTAAGCAGGGAAGGGCTGAGCTGGGGCTAGGGCTGGGCTGGGGCTGAGCTGGGGCTAGGGCTGGGCTGGGGCTAGGGCTGGGCTGGCGTCTTCGTGTGGAGGAGGAAACGCACGCTACGTAATTTCCCTAGACTCTACTCTCATTACTTTATGGAGTATGGTGAGGGAGCAGCACCTCCCTGTCTCACACTCAGCATTACCTCAAACAACTCTCGTGTACTGTACCTTCTGTGTTCACATCTGTCCCTTCATGACTGTCAGGTGAGGGACCACATGATCCCAGCTCATCACGACGTGTCACGCTACCTCTATACCTCACCTCTCACCCACCACCTCACCTCTCACCCACCTCTCACCCACCACCACACCTCTGACCCACCACCACACCTCTGACCCACCACATCACCTGACCCACCACACTACTCTCTCACCCACCACTCACACCTCCGACCCACCACACCACCTCTGACCCACCACACCTCTCACCCACCACCACACCTCTCACCACACCACACCACACCACAGTACACTTATTACTGGCTAAACTCCGACACCATCTACTACTGTATAAATACGACAAGTGAAACATTATAAATAGTGTAAAACGATAATTCTAACTCAAATCACATGACTTGTGTTCAGATTCACAACACATTCATAATTGACTTCTGGTGACAGTAGCATAAGGCTAATATATATATAAATGGAGGATATCCTTGTTTGGTGTCTCCTGTACCCGGGTCCACCAGCGGCCCGTCATGATTCCTAATTCTGTACCATCAAGGTTTACGTCGTTCATCTCAACACATCACATGAATTATATACATCTAATATATAACCTAACCTAACCTAACCTAACCTAACCTAACCTAACCTAACCAAACCTATCCTATCCTATCCTATCCTATCTTAACCTGCAGCAGGGCGGGAGCAGCGGCACACCCGAGATTTTACTAAAGACGAAGCTACTGAACTGAACAATTATTTAAAGGGACCGGTATATCTAGAACCCCGTAAGAGCTGCCTTAGTTCCAGCACCCCGGCCCAGGTCAAGGTGTAAGAGAGAGCTTAACACAGTAGAAATGAAGTAGATTACCTG